GGAACTAGTCTTGTAAGACAATGTCCCCAGGGGCTCTTCTGCCCTTAACTTGAAATCGACTCACAGCCCCTGGGTCTCCGAGGATGAGCGTAGGAAGGCTGGTGACTAATATCTAATTTCCGTGTTTTATTCTCAGCGTTATGGCGTTCATCATTGCTCGATGGTTTTATTCATTGGTTTTTTTCATTTTGCTGTTCGTAGTGCCAGGTAAGTATGTTTTTGATTTACCGATTTATGGCTTTTGAATTATATTAAACCGCACACCTCAATGTTCAGGTTTATTACACAAAATTATTTCAATTTTGCCAGCATGGTGGCATTTCTTTGTTGTCGATTCTCCAGAATGTTCGTCGGACGCCGAATTCCCGCAACGATTTTAGTATCTTCTTGCTTTGGAAACGCAGAGAAGAGGTCGGAATAATAGAATTAGGAACGTTAACTGAGTTCGAAACAAGTAAATCAAAGCGCTTACGGTAATGAAACGAAACGAAATGAAATGAAATCTTTAATTTAAGAAGTGAGATGAAATTTTTCAAATCACAGATCAGCATTTTATGGCTTGATGGGACAAACCTTCTTTCACTTGGCCGACGTATTGATTCATTCACGAACGGGTAAAAGTGAATTTTGGTGTTGGCCTACTGTTGGCCGACATAATTCAGACACATTACCGACAGAGCACTTAGAATCTAGGAATTTTATCAATCGGGGAAAAATCACTAACAGTTGAAAACAGTGCATAGACATCTCAATTGCACTTCATCCTGTTTTATGCCAAAGTAAGCTCGTTTAATCTATCTACGTACCATACATTCCAAATAATTTGGATATATCAACAAAGTTGAAATGGTACATTGGCCACCGTAACGATGACAAAAGCTGAGGCATATGAGTTGACACGGTCAAAAGTGTCGTGTTCACTTTTACAATTAAGTTCGACCCAAGTAGGTTCGACGTTTGAATCAACTGCCGAACTTAAGCAGCAAGTGAAAGAAAAAACAATGAGTAATATCGACATTGCAGTCCAAAAAATCCCCACAACAATATCCGACCAAGTGAAAGAAAAAACAATGAGTAATATCGACATTGCAGTCCAGTGTATACCCCAAGCGTTTCATCTTGGGTGCCAGCAAGCCTAAACCGCTGTTGAAAGACATTAAACCACCGTTGCAGAATCTGCACGGGGGCACAATACAATTCCATACGTTAGCGGGACCTCTGACCCAATAAAGAGAGTTCTGAAAAACCACGGCATTAAAGTGACATTTAAACCCTATCAGACAATAAGCCAGATGTTTGCAAAACCGAAAGACCAAATGGACAAAGAAGAAACTCGTGACCCCGTTTACGACTTTCCTTGCGCTGATTGCAGCAAGAGTTGCATTGGCGAAACGCAGAGAAAATTCATAGCAAGAAAAGGCGAGCACGAAAAGGCTGTCGCGCGGCGACAAGGCGAAAGATCTACACTTGCTGACCACGCGATAAAAACAAATCATATCGAGGCCACAATTCTCAGAAGAAAGATTCTCGAGGCCAGGGAGATCAACTGCGCCAAAGACCCACTCAACTGAGACGACGGGGCGTTACTCTCCAAGGACCATTTACACTTGACTCTCGCTAGTAAGAAAAAGTGACACATATCTTGAATTTTAATCGGCGTCTTGTTTATATCTGCGCTTTTGCATAGAATTTTTTCTTTCGCTTCCCATGAAGAAGGTCCGTGATTGCGATTGAAACGGTGGGAACATTTTTATTGGATATGATGAATATTTGAAGTTCATATATTTTGAACTGCGGTTATAGATACGTATGACGCACGATCCTCGCAGTAGAAAGCGCTATTTATGCAATAGCGAAAATCAGACCTGAAAAAAATCAGGCCTGTACGGGATTCGAACCACTGACCTCTGCGATACTAGTGCAGCGCTCTACCAATTGAGCTAACAAGCCAACTGGGAGCAGGCCGTTAAGTTGATTCGTAATAAACCCGTGAAAGTGATAAATCAGATACAATGAAATATATGAAGTTCATATATTTTGAACTGCGGTATTAGATACGTATGATGCACGATCCTCGCAGTNAACTTAACGGCCTGCTCCCAGTTGGCTTGTTTGCTCAATTGGTAGAGCGCTGCACTAGTATCGCAGAGGTCAGTGGTTCGAATCCCGTACAGGCCTGATTTTTTTCAGGTCTGATTTTCGCTATTGCTTAAATAGCGCTATCTACTGCGAGGATCGTGCATCATACGTATCTAATACCGCAGTTCAAAATATATGAACTTCATATATTTCATTGTATCTGATTTATCACTTTCACGGGTTTATTACGAATCAACTTAACGGCCTGCTCCCAGTTGGCTTGTTAGCTCAATTGGTAGAGCGCTGCACTAGTATCGCAGAGGTCAGTGGTTCGAGTCCCGTACAGGCCTGATTTTTTTCAGGTCTGATTTTCGCTATTGCTTAAATAGCGCTATCTACTGCGAGGATCGTGCATCATACGTATCTAATACCGCAGTTCAAAATATATGAACTTCATATATTTCATTGTATCTGATTTATCACTTTCACGGGTTTATTACGAATCAACTTAACGGCCTGCTCCCAGTTGGCTTGTTAGCTCAATTGGTAGAGCGCTGCACTAGTATCGCAGAGGTCAGTGGTTCGAATCCCGTACAGGCCTGATTTTTTTCAGGTCTGATTTTCGCTATTGCTTAAATAGCGCTATCTACTGCGAGGATCGTGCATCATACGTATCTAATACCGCAGTTCAAAATATATGAACTTCATATATTTCATTGTATCTGATTTATCACTTTCACGGGTTTATTACGAATCAACTTAACGGCCTGCTCCCAGTTGGCTTGTTAGCTCAATTGGTAGAGCGCTGCACTAGTATCGCAGAGGTCAGTGGTTCGAATCCCGTACAGGCCTGATTTTTTTCAGGTCTGATTTTCGCTATTGCATAAATAGCGCTWTCTACTGCGAGGATCGTGCATCATACGTAACATTTTTATTGTTACAAATTTCAGAAACGCTTTAACCACCAGTGTAACTTAATTTTTATTTTCAAATATTTTTTAATATTGTATACCTATTTTTCCAAGCACTGAGATCACAAAATCGTGCTCAGAAATTGAAAAAATTTTGGCCTCTAAAAAACACTTCTGCAATACCGCCAAATATTATCAACTGTGCTTCGTAGAGTTTGTATTTTGAGTCGCCCTACGGGCTTGTCAAAATACGGCACAACTCGCAAAAATACTCAGCGAAACTACACAACAAAACGTCTAATAAGATATATATCTTGCCCTCACGCTTGGTTAATAACCCATATGTGCAAAACCCGTGCCGCGACGAAACATGTTGATCAGAGTAAAGATTCTGATGCTGAAAGTATTTTGGCAATTTAATCATGTTGAGTATGAAAGACATGTGCTGACTAATTATTCATTATTGACAGCCAGGAAAAAGTGAGCCTTGACAAAAGCCTACAAATTCTCGCTTAAAGCTGAAAAATTATTTTGAACCCTGGTATTATCTTCTATGAATGAAATTGATATCAATTCATGGGTATGTATATTGAAACAACAGAATTTTACAGTGATACCATCTTTGGATAAAACTGTAGTGTATTATCGGATTTGATTGAGGGATAATTGGGCCGAAGGCTGAACCATACATCGGTTCGTGTTTTCATCATTTTCAAACATGGGAGTGGGAAAGGTGTTGCTGAAAAGAATGTAAATGAAGCCTTTCACCAAAAATCTAATGATTACTTGAATTATTTTACTCTTCAGTTTACGGCTCACTACAGAGTAAGACTTCATATTTTCTTTTTCAAATGTAGGAGCATGTGTTAGCTTTACCTTAAGACCTGATGATCCAAGCTATGTTGAAGTGGGTAGCACTGCTTATCTGATGTGGGACTACAAACCAGTTAATCAGCAGCCAAACATTGTCTTCAGCGTAGCTGTCAATGGGGTATACACAACTATGCTTGCTAGACAAGATGGCGTTCTTCAGTATTCTAATATCACTCCCTCTGCCTATCAAGGGAGGGTCAAGTTAAAGGAACGAGCTACTCTGGTCGTAGAGAACATAACTTCTCAGGATAATAATGCTTCCTTCAAATGTGAGCTTATAGGAACTGGTTCAAGTATTGTTCAGCTTATTTTGTTAGGTATGTATTCAATTGCAATGCATTTACTGAAACATTACAAACTGGTTGTAGACGGACGATTCACGATCCTGATAGGCAGCCATTCTTAATAACGTTAGTGTATCTTTCTTAGTCAGGAATATGCAAACTCAAACCTCTCATGGTTCAGTACTTAATTTTCTTAGTTAAAACGAATGTTTTGTTTTAAATTATTTTCAAAACATGAAAAAAAGCCATCACTGCAAAATGCACGCTCATATCAGCGTCAGCTGCAGCCTACATATCTTTTCTGACCTGCGAGATGTTATTCATATAATTTGCCTCGTGCATTATCTATATGTTATTCACCTGCCGGGAGGTCCGTATTGGGAAAAACTGTGCCCGAGGTCTTGGATACCGCCCGAGGCCCTAGGCCGAGGGCGG